AAACCGTTCTCTCAATAGCACCTTTGAGGTTTTGTTAGACAAGGACATCAAGGACTTGTGTCGCTGATAACTGATTGACTTGCTCGCCCTAGCACTGTCGCCTTTTTGCTGCCATTGCCACCGTCTCTGATGATGTACTCCCGCACGCGTTCAAAACCACAGAATAATAAACCGACTATTCCAATGCTCAACCAGTTTTTACTTCAATCATGTGAACTTTTATAGTCGGAAAATGATTGATGCTGTAGCAAATAGGTGTTGTTATGAAACTCGTCTTTAGTTCGTTCGTGAAGGTGTGATTGAGTCCACATTCAAAATTATAAAAACAGATACGACTAAAGTATAAATTTTTTTCATGGCATGATTTTGCAGGTTGGCAGAAAGCAACCTGTTCGAGAGTTGACAGTCTGATGTGACCGAAATATCTTGAGATTAGTTTGCACAAGTCTCAAGCTTAAAACTCTTTATAAATAATTTGTAAGAATCCAAAACGCATGTCGGAATTTCGGTTGATATTTCGGCCTCAAGGAGAAAATCCATCAAGGATGTGGCTGGGCCTCGACTGAACAAATGGATCACGTTGATTGGCTAGCTGATATCACTCACGGCTGTGCCGTGCAGAGTTACGCTTTCCTCTCGTCTTCCATTATAACATCATTATTTTTCCGCCCCTCACACGTAACAGTCCTTACCGATATCCTTCTCTGTAATGCCAGAAAACGGAAAAAATGGTGAAATTATAACTTACAAATGTAGACTGCCCACTGTAGCTCACGTAAAAAGCGTAAACCTTCAATTTGCCACCAAAGTCTTCAAAGTAGATAACAGAAATTGGCCCTTTCTCTCCATTCTTTCATCTGTTTGAGTAGTGAATTAAACCACCCCCCCTTCACTGGCCGGTCGAGACTTTTAAACGGTGAAACAGTGAGGTAAGCTATTCTTGTTGCATTGGTAAAAGCATAGCTGACGTCCCATTGGCTAACAGGCTGTGAAGTACAAACACTGGTAGTTTGGAAACACGCGTGGCTAACGACTTTAAGCTGCAACAAAAGTTCCAACGGACAAAACAGCGCACACACGAGACAAGCATGGCCGAACCAGTGATATCGAAAACCTTCTGGAAGTGCATCACAAGGACAGACTGGCCAGACTTTCTTGACGTCCTAACCTTCCTGCTCGAAATCACCAGCATCCTCTTCAACGCCCTGGCCGCGGTTCTCCTCTTCAAAAAACACGCCGCCGGCCCGCGGGTCAGTCTGGTCCTCCTGCGTAGCATGACTACCTGCTATCTCCTCTCAGCCACCGTGAACTTCATTGCCACCGTCTATCCCTACAAGCTGCGGGCACAGAACTACCACTTTAACCGTTTTGTCTGCCTATTCTGGGACAGCCGCTTTTTCTATTGGATCTTCAGCATCATGGGGGATCTCAGTCTGGCTACCTTCTCGGTTGACCGTTTCTTCACCTTGGCACAGCTTGATCGCTTCAGAGTAACTCTGCCCGAATACCGCAGTTTTACCTTCGTGAATTTTGCTGTGGTCAGCGCCCTGCTTCTCTCCCTGCCTCAACTACTGACGGTGAATCTTCAGGGCGACAGCTGTGACTGTGCCCCCACCCAGGTGACTATTCCCTTCCTGTCGCTAGTTTATGCGCAC